GTTGGCTTCCGCCTTTCCGGAGCGCGCTAGGAACCGCAACGAGAGCCGCGTGCGTTCGCGTAGTTGTAGTGTGTCTTTGTTTAGTACTTGTGTAGTACGTTGTATGTAGCTTGTTCAACAGCTGTCGAAATAGTGTCTATTGTAATTTTAGAAATGCAACGTTTTGACGTGTGCGTTTCCTTTTTGTAAAGCACCCGGGTAGAAGGTGCTTGCTACAGCTAGGCTTAACCTCAGAAATGAGTTGAAATCCTTGTTCTTATTTGAATTAAGGGTTGATCCCTTCTCCAAAAAGGACTGGTACGATGTCAAAGCGCCGGCAATGTTTAATATCCGAAACATTGGGAAGACGCTCGTCACCAGGACCCAAGGAACAAGTGAGTAGAGGGGCTCTGCACAGGGCACACGTGTTCCCCGCAATGAGACCCAGTGACATATGGGTGGGAAAGTGGTGAGCAGCATTCTGAGTACCGGAGAGGAACTTGTGGGGACTAATACAAGGGACTGTGGTTGTACTAGGGTCATAAAGGGGCTGAGGTTTGGATCTTTATGCAAGAGATCTTTGTTGTGCGTAGAATTGCGAGCGTAATGGCAGAATATTTAAACTTAATGTAGCTTTGCTGTTAACTTGCTCCTGAATGGGCAGAGGTTTCTTTTTATATGTAATATCGGGCACTGCAAATGCTTAGGTTGGTAAGGAAAGGAGCCTTCAGTTAATGGGAGTGATTTAGAGAGGTGTGTAACAAAACTATTTTTTTTAATCGTTACTTCTGTAGTATGGCTAAAAACTTAAATTTTGCTTTTGCACTTGCAGTTTAAGGTATGCATATTCTCCATGCGGTTTTATCTCTGCATATGAAATGAGTTAAATTAGTGTCACGCAAATATTGTGTGGGTCAGCTAATACTGAAGCGGTTCCCTCTTGGAGGTAGAGCTGTGAAGTGACTTGGTTCTACTCAAATGTTTATTATTATCTGAGGACATACTGCTTTTCAGGGTTGTCTTTTTATTACTCTATCTCAAAATACTTTACAGTATTTCCACCCTTTTTTTTTTAAACTATTAGGAATGCTGGAATTCCTAATGAAAGGTACTGAAAGGTGTAATGAAAGGTACTCTGTGTTGTTTCATAATACAGAAATTGCCTCTGATGGACTTAAGGGCCGAGTATTTGAAGTGAGTCTGGCAGACCTGCAGAATGATGAAGTTGCCTTCCGTAAATTTAAACTGGTAACTGAGGATGTTCAGGGCAAAAATTGTCTGACCAACTTCCATGGAATGGACCTGACTCGGGACAAGATGTGCTCCATGGTCAAAAAATGGCAGGTAGGTAGGTAATGTGGTCTGCGCTTTTGCTGGTATCCGTATGAAAAGGAGTAATGTTTGAAGTGGCACCAGCGGGTGTTCTTGTATGTCAGGTGTGCGTGTGTGTGCGTGCATGTGTGCGAGAGGCAGAGAAAGCTCTCTGTCATGCTGAGGACACACAGTTGGGTTTCTCCTTCAGACGATGATTGAAGCCCACATCGACGTGAAGACCACGGATGGTTACCTGCTGCGTCTCTTCTGCGTGGGCTTCACGAAGAAGCGCAACAACCAGATCCGCAAGACCTCGTATGCGCAGCACCAGCAGGTCCGCCAGATCCGCAAGAAGATGATGGAAATCATGACCCGAGAAGTGCAGACCAACGACCTCAAGGAAGTTGTCAATAAGCTGTAAGGCTTGGTTTTAAATAATGGTCTCTTGTTTGTTTATTGAGTATGGACTGTACTGGTGCTTCACTTACCTTGCATCTTCTATGCCAGACAGCATCTTGTCTGTGTTGCAAAGCTGGTGTGCCAGCAATTGTGCTTGCATAAATGTTAAATCAAGCTCTTGGTGTTTTTTTTTT